TTTCGAAACAAACGCATTTTTTCGTGTGACCTCTTCACAACATAACTTCTATGTTAAATTCAAAAAAAAAAGCGATTTTTTGTTTGCTTGCACGCCGCTGCAGACATTGCTTTTCGTGTAAAATTCGCACGGACATTTGTTCCGTGAGAAATTCCAGCGGTATTCCGTGAGAAATAATGTTTTGCAAAATCGTCTCCCCAGACAACATACATAAAACTCAGCATTTCTTTAAAATCTGAGCACCCGCATGCGAAAAAAACAACAGAGTTTGTAACGAACATAACTTTCGTCTTGCAACCTTTATCGCGAAACAATGTTTTCGTGGGGTGCGACAGCAAGCCGTGCATCCTGGGTGCCGTAACTTCACCGTGGCCACACCGCGCCTCTGCCATTTCTGAGCTGCAGCTCTCCCGAGGCGCTGCAGCGTGGCCCAGCCCAGCTGTCGATCCTCCAGGCGGCCTTACGCCCGCCGCAACAGTGCACAGCCAAGCTCGCTATTCCGCGCCCACCGGGCACCGATAGGAATTCTGCGGCCCCCTCCGCCTTGATGAGCGGGCGCCAGGCGGCACCCAAGGGCCAGCCCCTGTCTGGCACGTCTATCATGGATAGCCTCCTCAAGGTATCCGCGGCGGCCTCGCCAGCTGTGCCCAAGAGCAAGGCGAAAGCCAAGGCCAAGTCGGCGGCGCCCAGGGGCAACGCCGCCGAGGTGGCCTCTGGGCATCAGCAGGCCAAGCGCACCAACAAGCATCGGCAGCGCCCCCGGGCCAGCGCCGACGGGCTCGCCCAGGATGCCGCGTCCGCTCCAGCAGCAGGCGCGACGGAGCTCGGTTCACCTCGAGCCCAGGCAGCCCCTCCCGCGTCCGATGACACGATGCGCATGGGGGCGTCATTGGACGCGCTCTGCCAGGAGTTGGATCTGGTAGCCTCGCCCGAGCAGCCATTCCCGACCGCTCCCGCGGCCTCGGCCGCAGATCCAACGGCGGCCTCGGAGATCAGCCAGCATGGCCCTGCACACGATGGCCTTCCCGCGGCGCCCGCAGCCACAACTGAGCGCGCAGATGCCTCTGCTCCAGCACAGCAGCCTGGCGTCGCGCCAGAGGGCAACCGCGATGGCGCCATCGATGCTCCGACTGCAGCTCTCAGCGCCGGCGGCGCCTCCCTGGGCACCGCGCCGGAGCCGCCCATGGTCGCTGAGCCCGAGTGCGCTTCGGCTGCCGTGGATGGCGAGGGCGGCGGCCATGCCGCGTCGGAGGCGACGGCGACAGCGCCGCCATCAGCCCCTGAATGCGAGGTCGCCCCGCCCGCCTTGGCGCACGCGCCCCCCAGCGCTGCGCGTGTCGGAGACAGTGCTGCTGACCAGCAGCTCCCGACAGTGGGCGACGGCAGGCCGTCGGCGGGGCCCGACACATGTGACCAGCAGCTTGAGGATTCGCTGTCAGACATCCTTGATGCCGACGGAATAGATGAGGCTGCCGCGCAGCCGACCTTCGCGGCCGCGGCCAGCGACGCGCAGCCTGCCGCGTCGCAGTCGCCCGCGGCTGCGCCTGTGGGCGTGGCTGCACTCTGCGCCAGCATCACGCCGCACGCTGGCCCAGGTGAGTTCAGTCCTGCTGTTCCGAGCGTGGTGGATGCTCTTGAGCACGCGAGCTTCGATGTCGCGGTCTTCGGACGCGCCGCGGCGTACCACTTGGCCGCGGGGGATCAGCTTCGGACAGCAGCAGTGGAGACGATGCTCGACGATACGGCGGAGGCAGACCCGCCCTGCACGCAGCCTTCCCCGCCGTCGCCGCCAGCCGCAGCCTCTTCGCCGCGGCAGCCAGCAACCCCGCAAGCAGCGCCAGTGGTGAAGACGCTGGGGTATGCGAAGGTGCCCTCCTGGGTGGCTCGGCCGTCGCCTTTCAAGCCGTACCTTCGCCCGCTTACGGAGTCCCCGACCTCTGCGAGCCCTGCGTCCACAGTGCCGATGTCTTCCCCAGCAGCGCGGGCCTCGCCGCCGGCAGCGCTGATGGAGACGCCGCCGAATCCGCCCAGTGGACGGTCGGCGTTCGCCGAGAAGAGCATCGTCCTCGTCGAGCAGGGCGACGACCCGATGGGCGCCATCGTGCCCGCCGAGGCGCCGCCCCCTGCCCCTCAGCCCCTCCCTCCCCCTCCCCAGCCCCGCCCCACCCCCACCCCTCTCCCCTCCACCTCCGCCACCCCGCCCCCTCCTGCTCGTCCGGCTCCGCCCGCTCTGATCCCCCCTCGCCCGCCTGCTGTTGCTGCGACGTTGCCACGCGCGTGCGCGTCCGGCCTTCCATCGCCCGGGTCGTCATTCTCGTCTGCCCCTTCCTCTCCCTCCTCCTCTTCGTTCTCCCCCCCCTCCTCCTCTGCCCCCGCCCCCTTTGCCTCCTCGCCCTTGCCCCTGCCGCTCTGCCTCCGTCTCCGCCTCCGCCTCCCCCTCCGCATCCCTCTTTTCCTTCTCTGCTGCCTGCTCCCCCCCCCCCCGCTCCCTCTCCTCCAACTCGGCCTTCGCCGCCGTCTCTTCGTCATCCTCCTCCTTGCCCGTGGCCCATGGCCCTCGCCTGCGCTCTCCTCCGCCTCCTTCTCCGCTGCCTCCTCCTCCCCCGCCTCGCCTGGGCCCCTGTCCTCGCTGCGTCCGTCGCCAGGACTGCGTGGACATCCACGCCGTGGGCGCGCTGCTGGGCGGGCTGTTCGCGTCGCTGCCCGAGGCCGAGTCGGAGAGTTCAGACGAGGACCCCTCCCCGCGCCGTCTGAATTCTCGGACGGTGGGTTTCGGTAGTTTCTCGGACGCCCCCCATAAACTCCCGCCCGAGCTCGTCCTCGGACGCCCCCCCCCGTCCGAGTCACCAAAAACTCCCTCCCAAAAACTCCAGAAACCACGATCCTCGTGAGGGGTGCGCCCGTCCGAGGGCGGACAATTGACCGTAATTTTTTTTTTTGGCGGACCCCCGTCCGAGGAAGTCCTCGGACGGACCCCCCCCCCCAACAACTAATTATGCAGTTCCGAAATCTTTCGAACTTCAAACTATCGCATCGCGATCGGAGTCGACCGAGCCCCCCGCCGCTGCGCCGCTGAGGACGTGTCGGAGGTCGTCGGCATGGACTGCGACGCCCCGGTCGGCGCCCACGGGGGGGCCTGCCGCGGCGCCCGCGCGTGTCGGGGGCTGTCGGGGCACCGATCGAGGTTCGAGGGAGGAGCGGGGGACGCGGGGGGCGTGGAGCAGGATGCGGAGGCGGAAGCGGAGGGGGAGGAGGGATGGGGGGAGAGGAGGGGGAGGCGGAGCGGGAGGAGGTGAGGGACGCGCAGGAGAAACGCGAGGAGATGCACGGGGCGCGGGAGGAGGACGCCGATGACGAGGAGGAGGATGGCGGGTTGTGGCGCATCGGGGGCAGCGTTGGCCTCGGTGGCGGAGGTGCCCGGGTTGTCGTCCAGGTCGCAGCGGCGGCCGCTCCTGGTCGATCGGTCGCCCCTGGTCGCTCGCGGTCGGTCCTGGCCTGGTCCGCAGTGGCTCCGCACGTCCGTGCCTTCGCGCCTGCTCGTCGTGAACGGTCCGTCGGTGTGGGCCGTTCGCTGTGTCGGAGGTCGTCGCCGTCGTCCGTCTGGCGCAGCCGTGGCGCCGCGCCTCCCGCTGCTTGGGCTCACAGGCGACTGGGCATCGCAATCCGCGTCGTCCCTGGGTTGCGCGGCCGCTGCGCCGCCTGGCCGTGGCCGCGCGATGGCGCCCGTGTGCGACGGCGGCTCCGCTGCCCCTGTTGACGCCGCGTCGCTGCCGGTGCCTGCCGACGAGTCCGACGCCGACGATGAGCCCATGACGCCAGGGCTGGCGTCTCAGTCCTCACAGTCCGAGCCTGCGCAGGCGGCGGCGGCGTCGCTCCGGGCGACGGACGCGCCGTGCCCCGACCCCGAGGCGGCGCCGTGCGCTGGCGCGCCGCCGCCGGAGCTCGACCCACCTCGAGCGGCACCTGCAGCGGCGGCCTCGGCGGCGCAGTCCTGGCTCAACGTTCCTGTCGGGGCCCACGATGCGAGCGTGCAGACGGACCTGACCTGGCTCTATGGCGGAGGCTACTTTGCGCCCGCCGATTTGACGAAGCTCTCGCCAGGCGAGGCGAGTCTGCCGCCTCTGCCACCAGATGAGCCCCCATCGCCGCCGCCAGGCAGCCCCCCCAGCGTCACCTGGCCGCTGCCCGTGACGCCACCGCCAGTGACGCCTCCCCAGCAGCAGCAGCAGCAGCAGCAGCCGCCTCAGGATGCCGCGGCCTCGGCGACCTCGCCTGCCAGCACAGACCCCTGGAGTGCCGGCCCGCCGCCGCCGCGGCGCCCCCCGAAGAAGGCTGCCCCCAAGTACGCTGCGGGCGCGGGGGCGGCGAGTTCCTGGGAGCCGATGGCGCCCGAGGCCGTGGCGGGCCCAGCTGCTGGCGAGCCGCCCCCGCCCCAGCGCGAGCACGACGGCCCGCCGCTGCTCAGGCGCAAGCCGCCCCCGCCGCAGTTCGCCCACCTGGCGAAGCCGCACCCGAAGGTCGAGCCGGTCCTGACTGGCCCCGCGGCCACGAAGCGGCCACCGCCGCGGCTGCCCTGGGACGCCGCGGAGCCTGCCGATGCTGGCACCGCCGAGCCGCCGCCGACGTTTGGCAATCCGCCAGCGCTCAGCCCACCGCCAGCGAAGAGCGGCGCCTGGGTCACGATCCGCCCGTCGCAGGCGGGGCAGTGCCGACGCCGTCGTCGTTGGGGGGTGACGTCGACGGCGATGCTAGCGGCATGTGTGGCATCGGCGATGCGTCGGCGGCGGTGCTGACGTTGGCGCTGATGGCGACCAGGGTGAGATCGGCGATGGGTCGGCGGCGGCGGTGCTGACGACGGCGATGCTGGCGACCATCCATGATGATGTCGGCGATGCAGCGGCGGCGGCGGGGGCACGTCACTGGCGGTGCTGACGTCGCGTCGGTGGCGGCGGTGGCGAGGGCGACGGCGAGTCTGGCGAGGCCGCCGCGGCCGCCCGCAGCGGGGGCCCCGCCAAGGCGGCCAGCGGCGACGTAGCCGCCGGCGGCGCTGCAGGGGATGCTGCCCAGGCTGATGAGGAGATGCGCGAGGACGACCGCCCGATGCCCGAGGTGCTTTCTCTCCGCCAGCGTCTCGCCCAGTGCCCCCCCCTCCCCCCCCCCCCGCCCCTGTCGCATCCACCGCGCCCTCTGCCTGTCGCCACGCCTCCGCACGAGAGCGGCACCCCACCCCTCCACGCTTTCCGATGTCTTGGGCAGCTCCTTCCCGTTGCGTCCAGGCCCCTCCCGCGTGGGCTCCCTGGGCCACCGCCCTCTCGCTCTCCCACGATGCCCCTGGGGCCTTCGCACGCTTCCGCCCGTCTACCGTCGCCCCCTTGCTCGGGCACACCCTTCGCGTCCTCTCGCACCCTCTCACTCGCGCTCTCTCCCTCGCTCTCTCTCGCCCTCTTGCTTGGACTCTCTCCCACCCTCTTACGGGCGCCCCCCCTCGCCCTCTCTCGCCGTCTCTCGTTGCCCCCGCGCTCTCTCGACTTCTCTCGCCTGCTCGCCCACCCTCTCGCTCCCCCCCTCGCTGGTCCCGCTCGCCCTGTCCAGCTGCCTGGTGATCCGTCTTGTTCTGTCGCGTCGCTCGCTCCCCAGGTTCTGCACGCGCTGCATATGCGGCCGGCCGTCGAGGAAGTGTACGGATGCAAGTGGGCCCACTATGCTTTCTTGACCCATGAGCAGATGGCTGACGGTTGGATGTCGTACTATTCTGATGATTTCCTGCGCGTGTTCTTTTGGAATTGGAAGACCGAGGAGTCGTCGTGGCACCCGCCGGGGGATAACGATGGCAGCACGGGTGGGCCGTGAGTCGCGGGCCAACGCGGGCGGGCCGTTGGGCCGCCACTGCCTGGCACGCACGGCGGCGTCTAGGGATGGCACCGTCGCAGGCGGTGGTCGAGGATGACGGGAGGTAGTGACGGATGGCATGGGGCATGGCGTTCAGAGGGAGGATGCTCAGCAGGAGGACTCGAAGACCTCAAGCGCTTTGGCTCAAGCTTTTTGGGTCAGGATCCCTGTGCTGATACCAGTTTCACTGTGCTCGCTTGAGGGCCCGCGAGGGTCAAAGCAGGGAAGTTCTCGTCCTTTCCTTCATGGGGCAGGGCGATGGCGCGGGCGGCGGCAAACCCCCAGGGCGGTGGACCTGCACCGCCTGTGGTTGCCGACGCAACAAGGCGGGGTGGTGGCATTGCAAGCACTGCCATGCTCTTCGCGCAGACGTGGCGACGGCTCCTACCGCAGGTCCGAGGGGGACTTGGGCAAGGGGACCGCCGCCGCCACCTCCGCCACCAGGTCAATCAAACTCGTGGTATGCATGGCCGCAGCAATGGGACTCGTTCCAGCAGTATGGGCAGGCAGCTGTTCCAGGTCGTCCTCCCACTCTGCCTGCTCGGCCAGGTCCTCAGTTCATGGGCCCAGGGTCGGTCTCGGTCCCCAAGATCTCTGAGTCCACCACCATCGAGGATCTCGAAGCCACCATTTCTCTTTTCACGAAAATGGGAGACACCGAGGGCACCCAGGCTTACTCGCGTCTCCTCGAGGCCAAGAAGTCAGCCGCAGCAGGCCCCAAAGAGCTCCCCATTCATCAGCGAGTCGGAGCAGCTTTCAAGAATGTTAGAGAGCTCGAGAGTCGGCTCGAACGTGCTGTCAATCATCATAAGCGTTTGCAAGAGCAGCTCGCCACCCAGCATTCCTTGGTGGCAAGTCTCTCCTCGGAGCTCGAGCAGGCCGAGCTCGAGCACACAGGTTTGGTCAAGCAGCTTCATCAGAAGGTTGCCCCGACACCCGAGGAGACGGCCATTCCTCCCATTCCTATCGACGATATCATTTCGGGCAAGGTTCAGAGTTTACCCATTTCCCTTGGCAGTCTGGGTACCATCGACGACGACGAGTTCGAGATCGACCCAGCCACGCGAGAGGAAGCAGAGAAGTCCTTGGCCGATTTGCAGACACAGATCACATCTCACATCAAGACGCTCTTCGGTAGTGCCACAGAAGCGGTACGAGAAGCCAAGGATCGTCATACCAGAATGGTTTCAAGGTTACAACGCAAGCGGAGAAAAGGACCCCAAGGTGAGGACGCCGCTCCAGCTCCTGACGGTAAAGAGGCTGTTCCCAAACAAGCAGAGCGGAGTTCCCCACCAGGTTCATCAGACGGTTCGGCGCAGTCTTCTGATCCCACTGAGGAGGCCGCCCGTAAGGCCACTCGTGAGGCCGCAGCCAATATTCTTCGCCAGCCTCCTGTCCCGCCTGCGAATCAATCCCCCCCAGGTGCTGGCGGAGCCGACGGCGCCTAAAGGGGGGGACCATCTTCAGTGTAAATTTTTTGCTGGGGCTCCCGCTCCCACCGTGCAGGGATTTTGGAGACGCCTCTACCAGGTCAAGCACCTAGCCAGACAGATTTTGAAGCCCTGGGGTATCGTCGGAGGAGCTCCTGAGCCCCCCCCTTCTGCCCCTAGTGCTCTGTCCAGGCCACCTCCTCAAGGTCATCCTTCCTCCTCGTCCCTCGCCCTGAGTTTTGAAACGGCTAACGTTTCGGGGTGGGGTTCGGGGAAAAACTTTTTAAGTTCTACCTCGGCCCACGTTGTGTTTCTGCAAGAGCACCACCTCTTGGCTGGGGAGAAAGTCGATCAAGCCAGTTCCTGGGCCTCTCGAAACGGGTGGAGGGCCATCTGGAGTCCAGCGTCTCCTGGTCAGGGTACTGGGTCGATCGGAGGAGTTGCTTTATTCGTGCGCGATTTCTTGGGATTACATTACCTCTGCGAGGATGCTCGGGAGTGTTTCAGCAATCGTCTTGTCTCTGGGGTGGTCAGTGTTCCTGGAGGCGCTGAATTCTCAGTTACATGTATCTATCTTATCGATGGGGTCGGCATGTCCAGTGATAACCAGTCTATCCTCGCCACAGCTGGTGAGATTGCCTCTTCATCTTATATGCCGTGGCTGATTGCGGGAGATTTCAACCTTCCTCCCGCTACGCTGCAAGAATACGGTTTTCCGCATCAATCGGGGGATTCGATAGTGGTTTACCCAGACTGTGATGGAACTTGTCTTACTACGGGAGGGATGAAGATGAACGATTATTTTGTCGTTAGCCCTGGCCTTAGTAGTGCCATCAGTTTGTGTGATCGCATTTCCGACGGCGATCTTTCTCCGCACTGGCCCGTCCGTTGCCAGTTGCACCCGTCGTTCCACGACCTGAAGGCGCTGGCGCTCAAGCGCCCGCCCAGGTTGCCAGCCGATCGCATGATAGGGCCTGTCGGTCCCCCTCCAAGCTACGATCAAGCCAGGAACCTTCTTGAGAGGGCGCTGGCTTCGGCTGAGGCTGGTGATGGCACTAGCACCAGCGCCCTGCTCACTGAAGGTTATGCTCTCTGGGCCGACTCGGCGGAAAAGGAAGTCGCGGAGCTGGCGGGAGTTGAGCTTGCTCACCCGGGTGCTCGGAGTCAATCCCCTCAGCTGGTGTGGTCCTCGGTCCACATTCGTGATATTAAGGTCTCTCGCCAGCCTCACCTCGTGGCTATCAGGTGGCTGTGGAAGGCAACTTGCCTCCTGGACTCGGCAGTGCAATCTCCGAACTGCCGAGGTTTGCCTGACGCTTTATCGTACGGCTTCGCCATTCCCTCCGCCGTTGTCCAGGGGCAGGGTGACCACCGTCCCTTGTTCGATCGGTCCCTGGCCCTGTTGGGCCTTGCTGGGTCGGAAACGCCTCCGCCCGACCTGGGTTGCCAAGTTGCTGCCCTCAGGTCTTCGGTCCGTGAAGCCCTGGATTCCCAAGTCAACATTTCCAGACGCCAATCTAACCAAGCTTGGAGGGCTTGGCTCTTGGAAGGAGTGGACCGAGGTGGCCGTCGAGTCCACCAGGTCACTCGTGAGCCCAAGCCCTGGTCTCCGTGTACGGTTCTCTCGAAGGCTGGGAAGATTGTCAGTGACCCCCAGTCCCTTCTGGGAGCGGAGGCTGTCAGGTTCGGATCCCTGTGGAGGGCTTCGCCCAACCCGCCGACGCCCCCCGTCAGGGTGGTCCCCGCGGCTCCCTTGCCCCCCCTCCAGCTGGACGAAGTTCGAAAAATTTGTCTCCGCCACAAGCGGATCTCTGCCGTCTCGACGGACGGTTTTCACATCAGGCACTTCGGCTGGATTTGCGACCAAGGGCTTTCTTGTATCTTGCTGCTCTTCCAAGTGATGGAGACTTCTGGTCTTCTTCCTTCCCAGTTGGCTATTGTCATCATGCATTTAATCCCAAAAGTGCCATCTGGGTTGAGGCCTATTGGAGTCTTTTCCTCACCTTACCGTGTGTGGGCTCGGGCCCGCAGGCCATGGGCCGACAGGTGGGAAAGAGAGAATGCTCGCCCATACTTCGCTGCAGGATCTTTTGCTGGAGCGGGAGATACTGTCTGGCGGCAAGTTCTTAATTCTGAAGCCGGAGTTGCCAGAGGTGAAATTTCAGCTAATCTCCTCTGGGACTTCGTTAAATACTATGAGACCCTACCATTGGATCAGCTTCAGCAAAGGTGTATCAAACATGGTATGCCATTAGCCATCAGCAGGCCAGCCATCTCTGCTTATTCCGCGGTCAGGTATTTATCTCTCAACAGTTTGGTCTCCAAACCGTGCTATGCCTTTTCGGGAGTTGTGGCTGGATGTAGCATGGCTACCACTATGATTCGAGTCAATAGTATAGGACCCCTCGACGCGATTGAGTGGCCTTTGAATGTGGATTTCAAATTATATATTGACAACAGCTCGATCTCAGCTATTGGTTCGTACCACTCTGTCGTGGATGGTATTGTATCTGCCGCGCTCTCCCTCGAGGCCGCGGCGGACCGCATCGGAGCTATTTTATCGGCCGACAAGGCCACCCTGATTTGTTCTTCTCGCCTCGCCGCCGAAGACATCCAGGACCGTCTTGGGATTCAACTCACGGGCCCCCTTGTTCGTTCTGGCATCAACCTCGGGATTGATGATTGTGCTGGCACCCCCCTTCGACACCAGGGTCTCGATTCCAGAGCGAAGAAAAGGCGGCGAGACGGGGCCGCTCGTGCTAAGCGGTTAGGTCAGTTGGCCAAGACCCTAGGGAGACGCGTCAAGCGTTTATGGGTCGCTGGCCCCCTTCCTGTCACCAATTACGGTTGTGAAGTCTACGGGATTTCGCCCTCTGAGCTGGTCAGTCTTAGGCGAAGTCTGGGGCGCGTTATGAAGCCGTCTGCGGGGGGGCGTTCCTTGAGGACCCTCCTGATTCTGGAAAATGACCCGACTTGGCTCACCCAGGTTGCCTGTGTGTGCAGATGGCATCGAGAGCTCTGGAGTGCGGTTAACAACCTTCACCCCGCGGCCCTCCCCATCCCCCATCTGAGAAGATGTTGGGAAAGTGTGTTTTCCAAACCTGTCAAGTCGTGGCGTTCGGTCTCGGGACCCCTCTCGGCGATTCGGCTCACGTTATCCCGCCTGGGTTGGAATATGCCCAGCTTTAACCGTCTCATCGATGATCTTGGAAATTGTCATGAGCTTTTGTTTACGTCCCCGTCCCTCCTCAGGTCACATTTGAGGTCGGCTGTGCTCAGGACTTTGGAGAGAGAGCTCGGCGCGAAGCACGGCTTCGGGCACCGCCTCTCCTTCGATGTTGTCTCGTCCTACCTCGCCTCTTCCAAGTACACCCCTCTTCAGAAAGGCACCTTAAGAGCATGTGCGACTGGAGCCATATGGACTCGGTTATCTGCAAGAGCGAAGGGTTATCAGTTCCCCAGTGAATGTGAGTTGTG